AATTTTTTACATTAGAGAACACAGAGGCAAGAGTGAGCAAGCGTGAGAAAGAGACCTAAGCAATTTAGCCAGATGTTAACTAACTACATTCATAGCTAGATATTAAATATAAAGATAGCACACTAAATAATTTTTATATTTCGCCCTGGACTACTGTTCAGCCCCTGCTGTTCATGAGACTATGTTTCCCAGACTAACCCAATAATCAACGTGTCCTAAACTAGTGGCAGACATTAACAGTACAAAGTATACTCCTAACTGTGCACCAATGCTGAAGAAAAAAAGTTAACATAATATTCCTCTGGAAAGCTTTATACAACTCTTAAATATTAAAAGTATAAGAGAACAAATTCTCCTTCTCAACATGAGGTTAAGAAAATGGAATATAGTCATAATCAGAATAATGCTCAATTTCATGTCAATGTTGGGTAATTATTTGTATTTAGAAATGCAAAGGCTAATTTAGGTTTACCTTCTGAATATCTCAAAAGCATGTCTTGGTGCTGGTGGGATGTTGCACTTTGGTGTGGCTGACTGAGTGGGCCAATACCCCGTCGTGAGCACCCGGACTGTGAGATCAACACCACCTAAAGATACCTACAGAAAACAGAAAGAGATGTTGCTCCCCACATTAACTAGGATACAGTCCATCTAGACTGAGTTAGGTCTATTACTGTTGGCTCCATGTCCAACATTTAGCAAATGCAACATTTTTTTAAAGGTTAGACCCATCCAATGTCTTCCAAATTTTAACTACTTTGGAAGATATTGCAGTTACAGTTACTGCTGAAGAACTTAAAAATACTAACTAAAGGATAGTTCTTAGCATGTCAACAAAACCTTACTGGAATCACTGTAAACTGCTAAGTTTTAGCCTTTAAGCTAAAGATAGATGTCAAAGAGTTAGTCCCATCAGAACCATTTAAGGGGAAATTCCAGGATAGTATCTTCCATCTAGTCTTTAAATAGTTTTCCCACCGTATCACACGAATGATGTTTCCAATATCCCTACATTTCAATTACATTGGTCAAACTTTCATGTTTTAACACGTAAGGCTCAACTCACAGTCTAACAACTTGTCCATAGATACGACAGAACCAGTGTACACAGTGGGTGGTCTATAAATATCTGTACAATGTATGACTAATTCTACAAAAGATGTGATAGCACCACTGTCACAATAAGATAGTCTTTTTAAATCAATTTATTTTTTCTCTCTCTCTCTCTTTTTTTTTTTTTTTTTTAGAGGTTTTTGCTATAGGGCACGTGCGCTCACCAGACAGAGAGACATAGAGACAGAAAGCGAGAAATCACCCCCCCGGGGGGATGGTAATACCGCAATCCCCTCTCCTCCATTCTCCTCTCGGGATCTTGGGCACACATACACACGCGCCCAGCGTGAGTTCTAAGCCACCGGGTCTGGGACGCGAACCGCGGTCGACTACGTGGGAATCCAGCGACATAGCCATTATGCTAACTGCTGGTTCCCTTTTTAAATCAATTTTTAAGAAAATTAATAAAGCACATCTACAGGACCCTTAAAAATTAAACATCTTTATTACTGATATTCACAATTTGTTATATACCATTGTTTCATTTGTATCTAACCTGGAGGATTAAATGATAGAGATTTAAAAGGGGACACTAAATATCAAACACATCCCATTGTTTAGCAATTCAAATTTGAAATCCAGATTTCTTGACAATTATCTATTAGAAGTTTACTTTATAGAAGTGAAAACTTGAAATGTTAGGTGAGGAGAAGATCTAGCAGAGGCTCTTAGATGATGTGCCAGGAAAGGTGCAGAACTGTTAGTATAATTCCAAGTTAGGACTAAGGCTATAGCAACTTAGTCAATCCATCAAACCCTTAACAATATGCATGGGACCTACCCAAGATTATAAAGATGAAAAATCTTGCTATCTTCTCCTATATACCCACACAGCCTGCTACCTGATCTACTTCAAGTTTTTCCTCAAAATGTCATTTTTAAAAAAGCAAAGTGCTCCCTGACCAGTCTTGCCTGCTACAGATTTCCTCTACAGCTACGTATTAGCTTAGGTTATCATCTTTCCCCCATTACAATATAAGCTCCACTGTGGCCAGAAGCTTTGTTTGTTCCATTCTCTACTGTATCTCCAGTGTCTAGAACAGTGTTTGGCACCTAGTAAGTTGTTAAATGATGAACTATTACTGTGGTGGGTAGTGTCTCCTCTTCCTAGCCATCTCAGGAACATTTTGAAACAAATTAGCTTATATTCAAAAACAGCACAAGTCAGGGGCAGGTACACAGAGACAAAAGTATCATAAGTCTAACAAGGTAAATATGATTTGCTGATGTAGTAGCCCCTTTCCAAGGTTTCAGTTACCTGTGGATCAACTGAGGTCCAAGAGGCTGAGTACAGCACAGCACAATAGTGTATTTTGAGATAATGTACACCCCATTCACCTAACTTTTATTATAGTATATTGAAATAACTGTTCTATTTTTAGTTACTGTTGCTAATATCCCACTGCCTAATATATGAACTTTATCATGGTTATATAATGCGTGGAGAAAAAAGTATTAACAGAATATATAGGATTTGCTACTATCCAAGGTTTCAAGCATCTATGAGGGGTCCTGGAATGTGTCCCCCATAGATGGAAAGACTACTGCGTAAACAAACAGAAATATCAAGGTGGCTTTCTTGCCTTTGCCTCATTTTTAAAAGTTAAAACACAGAGGAAAAAAAGTGGACAAACACATAAAATTTCTTACAGTACAAAAAATAAGATTTGTCTAAGTAAAATACACAAGTATTATTAGAGTTTTAAGAATGTACTTGTCTTATGACTCCTGGAAGTAAATAAAACACTGGCTCGGAACATTTCAACAGGTCAAAACCTTTAGGTAAGTTACAGAGAATCTGGGTCAGGGAGTGGCACAGTGGCAACGACACTCTGCAATGCTGGACTCGCATAGCAAGGTCGTGGGTTAGCATTTAAAAGCACCCCTGTACATGATGGGCATGACCACACACGTGTGTGCTCATAGTGTGGGCTGACTGAGGCTGGAGACAGTGCTTGGATTTGAGTACTCCACCGGGAAAGCCTGTTTCTCATCTCTCTCTCTGTCCCTTGAAAAAGTAAATCAGTGATTAAGCTTTTTTAAAAAGATTTTTTTTGAGAGGTTTTTGCTATAGGGCGCATGTGCTCACCATGAAGAGAGAGAGAGACAGAAAGCGAGAAATCACCCTTCGGGGGGGATGGCCACACCGCAATCCCTTTTTGTCCATTCTCCTCTCGGGATCTTGGGCACGCATGCCACATGTGCCCAGCCTGAGGTTAAGCCACCAGGTCTGGGACTCAAACAGCGGTCAACTACATGGAAATCCAGTGACATAGCCATTATGTTAACTGCTGGTCTCTAAAAAGATTTGTTTAAAGTTTATTTAAAAATAATCTTCTGTTTAAGGAATGGTAATATCTTATAAGTGCTCAAAGATTTCAGAAAGCTCAAAATTTGTTTGGCTTACTTACTCTCTCTCTTCTCATCAAATCTTTCTACTTTAAGGTTTGGAGATATAAACCTCAGCAGAAACAATGACTAAAAAGTCAATAACTGCATGAAAACAATGGCCTTATTAAGTAGAAGCTTCCAATGAATTAGCAGAAAAATAACTGAGCATCTTGATTATATACTTTGACTACTATAGTTATTAACAAATTATTAAATATTGTACCCGAGTATGGGATGTGTGTGTGTACTTATCAAGATGAAATATTATGGAAATCAAACTATAAAAATAGCAATCAACAAATGTGAACAGAATCCAATAAGATCACCATGTTGAAGAATCATCTTTTTTTGTTAACGAAAACAATTACAACAGGATTGTCACAAGTAAAGATCGTAATTTCTTATCAGAAGGCCTTCAACTATCATTTAGACTCACAAAACAAGAGTTAAGATATTGAACTCATCCAGGAACACGCCCTCAACAGAGCATTTGTTCCTACCACGCCATCTCCCTCTAGCTCTGAATGTGTAAGACAAGTGCAAGAAAAGGAGAAAACAACAGAAAGAAGTCATTACCCAAACAAAAATTACACAGCAAATATAATTATATCAGTATAATAGACTGAAGGACACATCCCCAGTCAATCTAAAATGGGGGGTGGGGGTAACCAGCAGTTAGCGTAATGGCTATGTCGCTGGACTCCCACGTAGTCAACCGCGGTTTGAGTCCTGGACCCGGTGGCTTAGACATGTCGGGCGCATGTGCGTGCATGCCCAAGATCCCGAGAGGAGAATGGAGGAGAAGGGATTGCGGGGTGGCCATCCCCCCTGGGGGGAGATTTCTTGCTTTCTCTTTCTGGCGAGCGCACACGCCCAATAGTGAAAACTTCTCCAAAAAAAGAAAAAAAAAGGGGGGGGAGGAGTGGGGAGAACCATCCAGGGTAACTGAATGTTCAGTTCCTACCAGCACAAATTTCTGCTTCTCACAGACTTTCATCTTTCCTGCCCTTGGCTCTTCTCAGAGGTAAACACTAATACTTACGAGGCAAACCCTATGGCTAGTTACAAAAGAATCAGAATACCTCAATTAGAAATCTAAAATCATTAAAGTCCCAGCTGACCACCTTCGGAGAGTCGCAATACAAAGCATTTGGAGCACAATCATTTCTGTTTTAATTGTCTCAGTTCAACTTCCACCTACCCTAGAATGTGGAGCCCGTTTATGCTGATCTTGGAAACAAGAATGAGCATACATATGAGTGTACATGTAAAAAAGTCAGGGGACCAGCAGTTAGCATAATGGCTATGTCGCTGGACTCCCATGTAGTTGACCACGGTTCACGTCCTAGACCTGGTGGCTTAAAACTCATGCTGGGCACGCATGTGTGCATGCCCAAGACCCCGAGAGGAGAATGGAGGAGAAGGGATTGCGGCATGGCCATCCGTTCTGGGGGTGATTTCTTGTGTTCTGTCTCTCTGTCTCTCTCTGCCTGTCTGGCGAGCGCACACGCCCTATAGCAAAAGCCTCTCAAAAAAAAAAAAGAATTATTTTATTTATTACCATTATTATTTTTATTAATTTGACCAGAGAGAGACAGGAAAAATGAGAAAGCAAGCCGCTAGATCCAAGACTCAAAGTTGGCCACGTGGGAGTCCAGCACCTCAACCACTATGGCACCCGCCAAAGCATTTGGAGCACAATCATTTCTGTTTTAATTGTCTCAGTTCAACTTCCACCTACCCTAGAATGTGGAGCCCGTTTATGCTGATCTTGGAAACAAGAATGAGCATACATATGAGTGTACATGTAAAAAAGTCAGGGGACCAGCAGTTAGCATAATGGCTATGTCGCTGGACTCCCATGTAGTTGACCACGGTTCACGTCCTAGACCTGGTGGCTTAAAACTCATGCTGGGCACGCATGTGTGCATGCCCAAGACCCCGAGAGGAGAATGGAGGAGAAGGGATTGCGGCATGGCCATCCGTTCTGGGGGTGATTTCTTGTGTTCTGTCTCTCTGTCTCTCTCTGCCTGTCTGGCGAGCGCACACGCCCTATAGCTAAAACCTCTTAAAAAAAAAAAAAGTCAGGTAACTATCTCGCAATATCACAATCTTGGGATAAAGTGAAAAGACGAATCTAAAACTCAGTAAAAGGTTGCTTAAGCCCAGTATTCTTTCCATAATCTGTAACAGTTATTAACAATGGAATAATCCTATTTATTAAATTTTCAGTGCATTCCTTCAAGTGGGAAAGAGAAAATAAATTATAGAAGAATTAAAAAAAAAGTGTAGCATAAATACAGTGAGAAAAATAAATTAAGAACTCACAGACAATACATATGATGTCACTAATGACATTCAAACAAATGACACCAGCAGATCAGGCATCTGCTTTATGGATGAAAACGTCCATTACAAAAGTTTTTAGTACATGTAAGTAGAAATTAATACAGACTCTTACCCCCGTTGCCTGTAGATGCTGCCTGAACTCATCCATAGTTGTGTTTGAGATGCTCATATCCCTAAACATCCCTTCCAGTTTTGATGTGAACTGACATCCACATTCAGTCTGTGGAGAAAAAACACAAATATATGTAAGATTTTTCTGAGAAATATAGAGAGACATGAGCTATTCCATATTACTGCCATACCTGATAATCTCCTCTGTAAATCTTTCCCATAGTTGCTCTATGCCTATGGGTACCAAACATTACTTTAAAACTAACCCAAGGATTTTCTTTTTAAATGTAGAATCCCAGACTCTTCCTGTTTCCAATATATTCCATAGAAGGCAGGGCCTGGAACTCGGCATTTTTAACAAGTACCTCCAGCGGTTCATGTAAAAAGTCTATGGACACACTTTGCGAAACAGAACTATAGGGTCGTATTCTCTTTACTGTTTCTTTTTTTCTAATCCTTCTCTGGACTTTCATGTGTGTATCCTGCCACACTCACTAAAATTTCCACAAATTTGGAATGTCCTAGAACTTTAGTAAAGGTAAGTATAACCTGTGTCCTGCTCAAAAATAGTCTACCTTTATTAATTTCTGGAAATAAACATTTAAAATCAAGTAAACTGTTGGTGCTCAACTGATAAACATCAGTTAGGTTGCCCTACTCCCTCTTACATATACCTTACCTTTAACTTAGATATCATGTTTTTTTCAGAGTCATCAGAAACACTTTTATTTGTGAGAAGTCTCCTTGCCAAGTGTTGCTTATAATAACGTTCAAATACATCTTTTTCTTGCATAAACCTAAAAAGGACCATTGCCTTATCCAATATTGTTTCTACTTCTTGTTCTGTTAGCTGCAAAAGCAAAAGATTTAACAATTATAAAATGTTAGTTCTGCAAAAACAGCACCATAGCCCATCTATAATCAAAAATCATGACTCTTTGAAAACAAACATAAATATCTGGCTGACTGATGTCAGAAAAAGCGATCTGGTTCGAGAAACAGTGCTCCTTCACAGAGTGGCACAATTCTTATCCCCTCATCTAGTACAGCAGTAATGAGGAGTTGGAACAGAGCTCCAGTCCC